AGAGATAATAAAAAATTCATTTTTCAACAAGTTTTGGCTACATGATTAATCAATAGAAGTACTCGGTGGCGGAACAACAGGGACAGAAAAATATACATTTACCAAAGATGCTTCAGTTTGCAACCTTGGATCTTTCATATACACAGAGCATTTCGTATAATTCTTCAGGTGGCAACTCACAGGTGATACAAGTGGCCAAAACCCTACTAGAGGGGAACAGCAGAAATTCTTTGTCTGCCTCTTGCTTCGGTGGACATCTCTGCGTGCCTTTTTGATTTTTATGCATCCGCCTTCTTGTTGTCCACCACTTTTTTCAAAGCCATCATTGAATCGCCGCAAAGGAGAGAAAAAAAGCTTCCTGGATTTCTCCTTATATGGAGTACTTCTTGGCTGTGGGCACTTGAAATACGTAAGAAGTTGGTGTGCCATGGAAATGGATACAGAACTGACTAGATGAGAAGCAAGGCTAGAACCGATTGAGAATTCTAGTTACATGATAAATTTATAGCCTGTTTGGCAATAGGCACGTACATAATTCCTTAGGGAAAATATGGAAATGACCGATACTATGGTTGTAAGGGTTACGGACAACTCTCATCCACTAACTTTTTTATGTCTATTATTATATCATTGTCCTACCTCTTTATTTCTATCTTTTAGCCTTTTCCACTCGTAATTTGTGCATAGCATTTCAATTATTTAAAATCCCAATTGATATAAGTAAAGTAGGAGGTAGTGTTATACAAGTTAAAAGCTTTTAAAGTTTCGGACGTCTATCACCTAACTATTGTTCAGTTCCTAAAGCATTTACAAATAGGAAAATGTAAAGATCATAGACGCTGTGATTACGAGAGTTACGGCGTGAATTTATCAACTAGCACAACTAAATTGATATAAATATTACGATTATATTAAAATTGTACTAGGTTATGCCAAAAGTGATAACAATTACATCAATTGGATCGAACTAGGGCTGCAAACGAATTGACCTGCTCGCCAGCGGCTCGAGTCAAGTTTGAGTCGAGCTCGATCAATATCGAGTTCGAGTCGAGCGCGAGCTGGCTCAAGTCGAAATCGAGTTTAAAATATTAAACTCGTTAGACTCGCGAAGTCGAATATATATATATAACTAGTAGTAGGAGGTTAGTCCTCCATTAATGGAGAACTAACCATGCGAAAAAGCTATCCGAATCTTACAAAATTGTTACTGGCCAAATCGGCCAAGGAAGAAAAGTAAAAGTCGGCTACGGAGGAAAAGTCCCTGACCTCCGTACCTTCCCCCTAACTTTTCCAAGTCCCAACAAATTTAAAGACAAGCCTTCACTAAGTCTCCTAATCCTCTATGTTTTTGGGCCACTCAAAGGGATGAAGGAAATTCCTTTTCTTTTAGGCTAGGCCCACCAGAGAGAATAAACAAATCCCTATCCGGATTCCTCTCCTTCAAAATTGGTACCCCAGTACCAATTTTCCTAAACAATAGGAGTCCTATTATAGATAGCTTTCTTTAGCTCTTGAAATGGCCCCACTGCCTTTCAGCATTGAAGTCCGCTGCTTCATTCAGCTTTGGAAACTTTCACGTGTGCAAATTATCCCGAGAATCCGTCCTTGAAAGCTGGAGTTAGGCGTGGGCACGCCAACCTATCAGGGAGTCTGCTGGAATGACGATTTTCAGTACTTTTTCTTCACTACTTCCTGCAATTAATCCCAACTACCAAATATAAGTAGAATATATCAATTAAGATAATATTTGGCTAAAATCAAAGGAAAAAATAATTATAAATTTAGCACAAATTATGACTTATCAATCAGAGACAGAATCTCTGGGATCTACTAAGAAAAAACAATACAATTAGTCAGTTTTTGGAATTATAAGTATCAAAAGACAAACTATAAGTTCTTAAATGAACCAATCATCAGAAAAAAAAAAAAAAACTACAATCGAAGAAGACAAACCCAAAGAACTCACCTCAATTTAAAGGAAAAGTTATGCATTCCACCAAATAGTTAATAGCCATAATAAAAAGAACAAAGGGTATCGGCTAAACGTGGGGACATAAACATGATAATGATTGTTCAGATAATAATTAAGTTAATTAATTGTAATTAAAATCCAATTATCCAATTAATTCCTTAACGGATGAGAAAGGTTTCAGGAAATTGGAAGGTTTGGATGTTAGTATAATAAATGATTAAAAGGACTTTTATGTAATTCTATCAAAATACAAGCTTTATTCAGTTGTACTTGATACTCAATTTGGCACTAAATATTGTAACATACAAACCTGCCCCTATCCTTAAATGTCTGAAAGGTTATATAAGTAATTATAGTGAAATTAAAGCTATAATGACTTGTACTCAACATTCCAATTACTCTTCAAACACTCTCACATTCCCAAAATAGCCTCACCCCTGCGGTTGAAATCTAGTCCTAAACTCGTTCTTATATAGTATAAGGATATTTTTTTATTTTTTTATTTTAAGTATATATATATTTTTTTATTTTAAGTATATATATATTTTTATTTTTTTATTTTAATAGTAAAATTACATATATATCCTTAATATTTTATTTATTTTTTAAAAAATAAAATAATTATTTTTTATTTTTTTTCGAGCTCGAGCTTTAAATTTGCTGGCTCGTCGAGCTCGAGCTCGAGTTCGAACTTGATAAAATTTAGTCGAGACTCGGCTCGATTAGCCCAAAACTCGACTCGACTCGACTCGTTTGCAGCCCTAGATCGAACTGAATTGAAATCAACTTAAGAGACCCCTAATCTAAGAAAGAAATCGCACAGGATAACTTAAAATTTTGAACAATGTTGAAGTTATTGATGTCAGCTTCACATGACGTTTTAGAGTTTAGATAGTTGTGTACTCTAAAAATCTTCTTCACTTCATTTTTTACTTTGTGGTTCGACTTCTACATTGTGATAGTAGTATCACTCTTTGTAATTTGTGTTTACATTTTAAATGACACGATGTTGATATGTTTTGAATAATTTTTGGTGTGTTATGTATAAGAATAGCTGTTTCATTTTTTTTTAAAGGAAAAGAACGAAAAAGCACTTATAAATATTTTCTAAAGGGTCTTGAGAAATGATTTTACTTGAATTCCAACTTAAGAGCATATAAGGAAACAATTTTGTGTGTCTTATGTAGTAGTGTTGCGAATTCCTTCGTTTTTGCCAATAAATATCTACATTGAATGCACTAAAATTCTTTTAAATTATAAATAAAACTTTAATTTTTTTGCTAAGATTTTTTTTTAGTGTCATTGAGAGATTTTAAACTCAGAATCTCTCACATACAGTTTCTTCCCCTCCCCCCTTACACTAAAAAAATGTTAAGATGCTTGAAAGCAATGGGAAAAGTTCCTTGACAGTCAAGTAGTGGAGGGAGTGAAACTAAAGTATGGCAGGAATGGCCTCGTCCCTTTCTCCCAAGTTTTGAAAAATTAAGTTTTCTTTCTTGAAAAGTTGAAAATTTAAAATTTTTTGATAAATTTAAACTCTTGGTCCTGCAAAAATGACGAATATTTCAACTTATATAGTAAATTTTAATTAAATTAGAGTTCATCCTTTCAAAATAAATTTTCTAGTTTTGCCTGTGGTAACCGGCCATGGTGTGAATAATGCCACCGACCCTAATTAAAGCAAACAGTAGCCTCTATAGTTCAAGTCCTGACAAAAATGAGTCCTGTAGGACCCAGTTCGGTACTTATAGCTTATAGGAAGGGAAACCACTTCTAGTACACTACTTGTGGTCCTGCATGGTTTTTCTCCTTTTAGCGCGCTAGTACGATATTGGATCCGCTTGAGTGCTTGGAGATTAATCTATCAATCACTGTGGAGGGCAGTGTCTTTCTAACTAGCCCAGATTTCTTGGTTGGACATGTTCCATGGAACCAATCTGTTGGCACGTAGGCAAAGCCGAACAGCGCATTATTGAGCCTGTTTGGATTGCAAGTTTTTGAAGCTTTTATTGAAAGGTATATTATAATATTAATTAATGTGTTTATATGAGATAAAAAAATAATATATAATATGTTGAGAGTATTTTTCTATGAAAATTCACCATCCATGCAAGCAGCCACGGATTTAAGGGGGGGCTGGTGGGGGCTTAAGCCCCCCCAAGCCGCCGGAAAACCTCCTATATATAGGGGATTATATAGGGGATCTGGACTCAATCCTTAAACCATGAGTAAAGGTCGATTACTTTTGATACTTTGTTTCCACTCTCGTTGGATTGAAAAGCTTACACATCCACACATTTATTTGTCCACTGCAGCCATAGGAAAGTAATGATAAGATCACATCCAAAACTTCCTGCTTCTCTCTTCTGTTAAGTGGCCTTAACGTTTCTTTTTGTTCGACCGAAGATTTGCTGTGGCGGTGTGAAAACATTTGATGCTGAAAATGCTTAAAGAGGTGACTGAGGAGTTTCGCAGATCACCAAAGTTAATTAACAATTAAAGCTCATATGAATTCATTAGTGCCGACCGACCGTGCTATTAAAATTTTTTTTTTTTTAGTTGCCCGCATATTATTATTATTATTATTTGCTAAACACGACCCACAAATAGTTAAATAATTAAACAAGATGCCTTTCTCCAAACCCAAATTTCATTATGACTTGTGCAGATTCGGACGGTTGACTTCCGAAAAGGCACTTCCACTGCATATTACCATTACGCGAAGCAAAGTGGGAAGAAAATAAACACTCATAAAGAAATTAAGCAAAATTCAGCATCCATCATTCTCAATTTTATATTTCTGGTGGACTGCTCAATACTGTAGCAGGACTACTGAGCCGCACCGCGTTGTTGGCCGTCCAAGGACAACGGCCAATTTGTTTCCCCATTGAAAATCCATAACATATCAATCAATTAGTTTAACAATTTTAGGTCAGACGCATCGACGTCACATTATTGACTGATTAAGGGCCTTATCGAGTTAAACCTTGACTTAAGTTTATCGAACTCGTTCTTTGTCTATGTCTCTATGATTGTCAATTTAACTGGAGCATCATGTAAAAGGAGAGATCAATTAAGACAAATAGAACATGATAAGATTGTTACACTTTTAGACAATGGAGATATTATTAGTGGAAAAGACAAAAATCAAGAAACTAGTTTAGCAAGACCAGGGGATACTCGTTGGAGATCATACTATCTAACATTACTTCGTCTATCCTCTATGTGGGCTTCGGTGATTGGAATATTGGGAAATATACAAGATGATGCCACCACTTCTGACAATAGAGGTATGGCCAGGGGTTTGATTGATAGAATGAATGATTATGAGTTTGTTTTTGCATTGCACCTGATGAAGTATTTATTGGGAATCACAAATGACTTGTCACTTGTTTTGCAACAAAGGGATCAAAATATTGTCCAAGCCATGAGTTTGATTGATACTATGAAATCTCAATTGCAAGACTTTAGGGAAGAGGGATGGCAAATAATTTTAGATGAAGTCAACAATTTTTGTGAGTTGAATATGATTCCCGTGATTGATATGGAAGACAGTATAGCAATCCGTGGCAATGCCAGGCGCAGTCGCAGAGGTCAAACCATCACTAATTTTCATCATTATCGCGTGGAAATTTTTTGTGAGGTATTATTTTTGAAATTATTATTTCATTACATTTGTTACTTGTTAGCAGATTTTCTTAGTTATTAATTTTATTATTGTTGTGATGTCAGGTTGTTGATTTAATTATACAAGAGATGAATAATCGTTTTCTCGGAAGTTAGCACAGAATTGCTTAGTTGCATAGCATGTCTTGATCCAAAAAGTTCTTTCTCTCAATTCAATGTGCAGAAACTACTCCGTCTTGCTGATTTATATCCTGAAGACTTCTCAAGTAACGATTATTTATATCTTGAGTCTCAACTTTGAAATTATATTTATAATGTGCAACGCGATCCTCAATTTTCAGAAGTTGGAGATTTGGGAAGTCTTGCTCAACAAATGGTTAAAACTGGTAAAAATACAGTTTTTCCATTGGTTTATCGTCTGATCCAGTTGGCATAAGTTCTACCAGTTGCGACTGCTTCTGTTGAAAGAGTATTTTCTGCAATGAATATTGTCAAGACTGATTTGCGCAACAAAATGGGAGACGAGTGGATGAATGACTGTCTGGTTGTATACATCGAGAAGGATATTTTTGCAACAATTGAAAATGAGCAAATATTGCAGCGTTTTCAACGGATGAAGACTCGCAGAATGCAATTGCCTCCTCTTCGTTATTCAAGTGCAACAACTACCAATACTTCAAGTGTTAATCAATAACAAATTTTTGGGTATGTATAATTATATGTTTTTATTATTTTTATAATTATTGATTCTAAATTTTACTTATTAAATATATTTATTTCGTCACAAAAAAAAATTTTTAATACACTTCAGCCCCCCCAAAAATAAATTTCTGGCTCCGTCCCTGCATGCAAGGTTTAAAACGAGTAAAACCTAATTGTCAGTTGGATTGATTTTTGGAATTCGATGGCATTTTTTGTTTAACAATACATATTTGAATGTCATTTTGTGGCGTCAATGTCTTAACTAAATTATGGTTGCCTAGTTTAACCTAATTTGAAGAATTGTTAACGCTTTATTAGGTTCTTGTACTATTTGTGGCTTATTAATGGTTCTAATATTATATTTTAGGATAAAAAATGCATTCATCATGAGCAAACTATTTCAAATAAAATTTCACTTTAACTGTGTATTAATTTTTTGTGTCAAATTCACCCCTTAAGTTTCTAAATATGCATCACATTGGCTTGAAATATTCTCATACTTTAAAATGTAAAGTATCCAAAATAAAAATATACAAGTGCAATTTGAGATATAATGACATCATGGAAGATTATAAGTGTATATAGTCCACCTTGAGAAGTAAAATATCTAGTTGAATCAACAAAAGAAAATTCAACCCAGGAATTGGCGAACTCAAACGATTTTCTGACAGAGCTGGTTTTGAAGACATTGCTCTAGGATTAACAACATTTTTAGTAAATTCAAGTAACAGTTGAGCTCGTTTGTTGAAAAAGAAAGGAACATTTGAGCTCAACACAAGAGATTGTATTCGAGAACTTTAATCTTAACAACGTAACTGTCAAGCTTGTTACTTAAACTGCTTGAGAATCTCCCAACAAAAACCACGAATTGCAAAAGTTTTCAAGTAGAGCCAATTTACTATAAAAAAAAATTCGAAGGAAAATAAAAAATAAATAGACAGCACCCATAAAATTGATGTATCCTACAAAAAAAAAATATTAATATAGCACAAATTATGGGATCACTCCCATTTTCTAGCTACTTTACTTTAGATCAAAAGTTATGTGTAACTCCCTCATAAGATTTGCAATCTGTCTGAAAAAATTTTTTTTTTGTGAAGTTTTGTTGTTTCTAGTTAAAAGAAAATTATTGTGAAGAGAATTTCTCATACACACCTTGATCTTCATTAGTAAGGAAAGGCCTTGAACACTTGAACCCCTAAATTGAGCCTCTAAATGCATAGCCAACACAGTTTAAACACTTAGGACTCGTTTGGCTACTCTTTTTTTAGAGTTTTTTTTAAGAAAAGTATACTCTAGTGATTTTTCCCCCCATTGTGAAAACAAAACAGATGTTCTATAGTTTGAACTTTTATTTCTGAATATTTGTGCTCTTTATGGTTGCAACACAATCACTTGGAGATGGTAGGAGGTCTACAACAGATTTACAAGTTATTAAGCGAGAACATGGAATCAGATGAGAAGAAGAGGACACAGCCTTTCCTCCATGACAGAAAAGGATAAAACGGAAATCTACTGCAGAAGACCTAAAAACTATTGCAAGAAATCGAAGAAACAAGAGCAAGTGATCATCATTTATGAGGAGAATTCTCTAGATTTCTTTGGTCTTTTCCAGATGTGACATGACCTCGTTTGGCTTTAATCAGTCTTAAAGAGCTGATTGAAAACCATTCATAAGTTTGGCCAGCTTCCAATCAAATATCATGTTGGAGTACTTTCGGCGCAAGCGGCAGAACAAGGATCAGTCCTTATATCTTGTACAGTTATTTTACTATTGACAACCCATATTTCTTTGCTTTCTCATTGATCAGTCCTTGTTATTGCAAAGCTTCTTTCCTTTTCTCATTCTCTGACGGTGATGGAAGGAAAGAAATTATAGCTGTGCAGGAATGGCTTTGTCAACACACTAGCATGTATTTGCAAAGAATTTGGGGTATGAAGCAGATTACTCCGACAACAAAATTACTCACCAACACAAAAACTTTAAATTTGTTGTTCAAATTTTGTCATGTAAATTGGGATGCATGTGAATGTAGTATTCTTCATGGACGTTGTACGATTTTATATCCTTGGTACAAACTGTTCCAAATTGTACATAAGTTACAATTTTTAATTAACACAAACTCTTGGCCAATATGACTGAAGATACGGTAACTCGTGGATTATTCCATGACATATGTGCTGGTACAGAGGATCAAAGAAGCACAATTACAACGAGCATCATGAACTTAAATTTGATAAATCCTGGTGTTTGTTATTCAAGTGTCTCAGAATGTTAAGTAAATCGTTCTCAAGACACAGAAAAGTAACGCTGTCGTGTACAAGTTACAATTGGTTAACAACATTGTATATCGTCTGGAATAACTGGTCTAACAATTGTTATGGCCCAGATCCATTGAAAATGGCATGAGCTATATGCCCTTTTATGAACATGATTTATTCTCCGTCCGGGAAAAATAAAAGGCACATCTCAAATATTTGAGATAAAAGGCACATCTCAAAAATTGCATGAGTGTGTTTGGATTGTAAAGTATTTGAGATTTTTTTACTGTCACTACAACAAAAATGACTTTTCCTGACATGTCTATAAGGACACTTTCTGGTTTGTGTCATTATAGCAATCCTATCATGACACTTATTATCAATTCAATAATATATACTTTAATTTTTTTTTATTTTATCTAATATAAAAATAATAATGTGCCATTAGACTACCTATCATGACATTTAAGAAAATGTAAGATGTTAAAAAAAAAAGACGCAAAACGATAGCGTTTGATTTTGGCGGAAACTCCAAAGTTTCATTTTGGCGGCCAAAAGACTTAGTGAAAATTTTCTTCTTCAAGGCAAAAAAAGTGGCGGACTCGTCTAGTTGTCTTTTACCGTGTAGAAGCAAAACAAAGCTTTTCTAAGTGTTGAACTCTCTTTCAAATCACCTCTACCTCACTTTCACTCAGACGCCCACTCTCACCTCTACTTGCACCTCACTACTGCAATCTCAATCTCTCCGACGATTGAAGACCAATGAAGTACCATGGCTCTCTGGCATGAAGACCAAGTAATTCTCCAAGTGTCTGCAGCAAAGGTTAGTTCTTTCCCTCTCCTCTTTCTCTCTAAATAATTTGCAAATATTTTGGCCCTAAGCCTGTTTCTTTTTTTTTTTCAGAAAATTTCTACCTGCATTCTTGTCGAATCTGCATTTAGGGTGTAATTTTATGGTTATTTACATGATTAATCTTTTCATCCCTAGAAATTTTATTGCCCTAATTTTTAACTTAGGGGAAAAAATTGTTAAAAATTTTTGCCTTTTCAACATGAATCCCCTAGATTAATTGCATCATCTGTCTCTTGGCCTACATGGGAAGGACTTGCTACTTCCCAACCATTTTTTGCACAAAACCCAACTATGGCTGGACTTGGCAGGGGGAGAGTTGAACAAAAATTGACCAGCGGTTGGAAAATTTTGGTTGTTGTCGTTGGTAGTGTAAAATGTTCACCATACTTTCTGCTTCTTTCCCTCATTAGACAAATCTACTCAACAAACTTAGAAAACATTAAATTAGATGTGTTTTGCCACTAGTTTTAGGAGTTGATTTAGTTTATCCAGCAAGCTAATTGGAGCTTTTGTATGGGTACGCAGAATTGGAACAGATGGGATGTTATGTGCTTGATCTGACCCTATTTGTTTCCCTCAAATTCAATCTGATTGAGTAGGCTGGGTATGCATCATATGGAGGGGTTGTTCATGACTTGAAATCTCCTTTGGTTATTCTTTTTCAAACTTGGGAGTTGATGTTGTGTAGTTTGAGATGTATAATTTTAGGACTAGCTTAAAATTATAATCACTCTTACAACTTATAATTCAGACTTTGGAGCTTTCTTTTGCATCTTCTATGATGGGACATAATCTGTCTTGTTTTTTAACGAATTGTTGTTATTCATACCTGACATGGTTTAAAAATTCAAGAAAAATGCTGAACAAGCTGAAAAGCGCTCAGCTGAGATGGGAATTCAAGTCCAAACTCAATAGCAACTTATGCAAAGGCTGGAGAACTGACAAGCTGAAATGCAAAACCAACAAATTGAAATGCAAGACCTTCTTAAGGCTTTGAAAGTGGAATTGCAGTCTAGGAAGTAGGGCAATGAGAGTATATCTGGCAATGATAAATGGTAAACTATCTTTCTCATACAAGCATTTGATTTAGCCTCGCTTTTGTCTTTACTAAAATTTGGGGAAACTATTTTTGCAGGCTTTGTATCAAGAAACTTTAGCAATGAATGCCTCTCCAAACAATTTTACCTTAAAGAAAGGAAATGGAGACTCTGCACAGGAACAAAAGCACAGCTTCTTTTGAGCACTAATGCAGAACTTCCCTCCTTTTGGAGGTAAAAATTTTAAGACATTCCTTTTAGTATAGTTCAAATTTTTCGCGAAAGCAAAGGATGCAGTGCACATTTTGCTGTCCATGATTGCAATTTGATGTACTGAAAAGTTATTAGGTAATATATGGTTTCACCATAAATACGAAAACAACCTAGTATAGGTTTTTTATTGAGTGATCTCTCTTATGTTTCCATTTTCTACATTCCCTGATTCACGAGGAAGCCAAGAAAAGATAAAACAAACTCCTGATTCATGTGGAAAACATTAACACCAAAAGGAAACTAAATTCTTGATCTACTAGGTAATTACATTAAGTATTTATAAGGCCCTGGTCAAGGATAGGACAGCAATACATCATTACGTTTTCCAGTCTGTGTACTGGAAGGGTTGCTTTAAGTCTTCTCTAAAGGTAAATCTTGGCTCATGATTTTTCTTGAAACTGTAAAATATGTGTTTTAATTTTGTGGGGTTTTGGTATAAGCTAATCAAAGAACGGTCTTTAGTCTTTGTGAGGAAGATTAAGGATGTTGCATGGCCTTTTCTGGATTTTAAGCATGGAAGTTGAGTACTAAAATGGGTTGATTTTGTACTCTGTTTTATGAATTAAA